TTAGCACAGGAGACTTGCTGGGGCTAGGAATCTGCCTTCTCCACCGTGAGATTCTGGGCTTGCTTCTCAGCGCACTCCACCCCTGGCTGTACCAAGGTGAGGGTATCTAACGCTCACTCTGAGGGACACTGAGCTTTCACATCATGCCGTGAGCTGCAGGATGGCTGCCTGAGCCTGACGTTTTCCTCCTGCAGGGTTTGATGGCCGTTGGTGACAGCTGGCGGTCTGTAATTATCATCGTTCCTACGGCCCCCCCAGTGTTAGAGCTATTGGATTAACAGTAATAATTATTATCAGTGATTAATAATAATAACTGAAAACTAAGAAAATAATAAAGTATAATGTTACTATAATAATTGTATAGTAATAATAATTATAATATTTAACAATTATTATATAATAGTTAATAATTATTAAGTTAGAGTTAATTATAACATAAATTACTATTAATAAATTAACAACAGTACTAATGACTAGCAATTAGCTAGTGCATCCCCTTTCACCTGTACCCTCTCCCCATTCACTAAAGTGAGGGTCTTAGCCATCGTGATGCACAGCACGTCAGGGGTCATCTGATCACTCACAGTGGTGCCCTTTTGCTAGCAGGCTGGTAAATGATTCAATTTTGGAATCCCATCCTAAGAGTTTCCTTCCTGAGACCATTTCTTATACAAACTGTCTTGGACTGGGATCCCCCCAGAAGCAGATCCTAGTAAGTAGTTTATTTGGGAAGTGCCCTTAGGGAATACCAGGAGGGGGTGAGAGAGGAAAGGTACAGAAGCCCACGAAAGGTGGGCTATGAAGCCCGTTCCCAGCTTGGAGCCCATTCCCACTGAGGAACTCTGTCCATACAGAACACAACTCAGAGTTATCCCACTAAGGGATGTGCAAGCTGGGGTACTTATCCTCCAAATCTCATCAGTTGTGGCTTGAGAGATGCTCCTGGGGGCCGTCATTCTCCAGCTCTTCTGGCACTTACAGCCCGTGGGCTAAACTTGCCCCAGGTGGGTCGCCGACCATATTGCCGCAGGGGCTCCCTGAGCTAAAGCAGCCCATTCTGACCTTGGACACCTGGCTGCTGGAAAGCTCTTTCTCTTGATTGAAAATCGGTGTCTGTGGCTGGCTGAAAATGGTCCCCAGAGTTCTCTTAGTATCCAGGTCCTAATGCCTGGAACCTTTAAATGTTATCTTACCTGGAGAAAGTTCCTTTAGAGATGTGACTAAGTTGAGGATCGAACGATGTGGAGATTATCCTGGATTATCGGGGTGGGCCCTAGTTGCCATCACAAGTGTCCTTCTAAGAGAGACTTGGGGGTATGTGAGGACAGAAGAGGAGAGGGCCATGTGACCACGGAGGCAGGGCGCGGGGTGATGCAGCCACGAGTTAAGGAATGTGACAGCACCAACGGCGGAGGAGGCAAGGGACCCCTGGAGCCTCTGGAGGGACATAGCCCTGCCCACGCCTTGATTTTGACCCAAAGGTACTGATTTTGGCTTTCTGGCCTCCAGAACTGTAAGGAAAATAAATGTCTGTTGTTTTCAAGTGCCAAGCTTGTGACAAATTTTCCCCAGAAACCCCAGGAAACTCATACAGTGTTTGTGGACTTCATCCCGTGGCTCCCAGCTCCCCTGCTCTGCCAGCTCTTCCAATACCTACAGAAGCACCCAGTGCTCCCAAGGGCTTTCTTCTCGCAGGCAAAGCAGAACACCCTGGTATCCTCTCCCAGTCCTCTGCAGAAAGACCCCAGTATCACCGCTATCACCGGGGATTCTCCTCCCAGGACGATGTGAGAAGAACCCACAAGGAGTGACCATCACCCCCGTGCTTGGCCCACTTACCTCTGTTCAAGCTGCTCAACTTTCCATGGACTTTCGGGGAAGCTTTGTCACCAGCCTGAACAGTCTGTACCTGCAACACTCATGCTGGGTTCTGGGAGGTGAGGGGAGGGACCAACTTGCTCACTAGGGGTGCCCCATGCTCAGCACAGGGCAGCTGGGCTCCCGCTTCCCAGGATTTCTGTCATCCCAACATATTTTAATCTGCCCATCCATATACTCCTGTCTCCCTTAAGGTGAGAAATTGCTGGTCTGCTTGGAAGACTCTGGCTGTCTCCGGGTTTCACTGGCAGGCACGGTCAGTCTCTTGAAAGGTGGTACATGTCACAGTCACAGTCTGCCCCACCTGCAGCCAGGTGGGTGGGCAAGCCTGCCATCCTGTCTATGGGTCTGCCGAGTGAGGGAACTCAGTGTCTGCTCCACCATCTTGGCCACTCTAGACTTGAGGGGGTGCCCTGTAGGGGTCTTATTCCAGGCCTCAACCCCTTGCGTTAGCTCATCCTTCCCAAGGAGCTGTGCACCGGGGGCTAAAAGGTGCTTGCTCAGCTGTTGAAAAGATCAACACTCATTTGGCAGTGAGAGTCCTTGCCAATGCGTTCTCCCAAGAGTTGTGTCTTTGGCAGGAACCTGAGGTTTGAGTGGTAGGATTCAGACCCACCCCGCCCCCCAACACACACACACACACACACACACACACACACACACACACACACATTCTAAAAGACCACTAGGAGTGCAGGAAGAATGCACAGAGCAAATGCTCAGCCTATGGCAGCGGCTACAGCCATGACCTCTATTAATACGATTTCTTCCATCTTCCATAAATATTTGCAGAATTGAATGAATAAGTGACAATTGCAGCCACTAATGTGTTTCCTACTTCAGAGCTTGTTGGGTATGTAAGGGGCATATTTAGTCAATTTGCAGGGCAAGAGGAGGAAGAAGTGGCGTCAGTCTTGCCCAACAAAGACAAGGGAAGGGGAACTTCACCTTGGAGAGGGTCTGTGTTTCCAGTTCTATCTGGGCTTCCTGCTGGTTGTAGCTGTTGCCAATATGGCTTCAGGCAGGGGTTTCTGACCTTAGAAGAGGAGATACAATAACATGAGTTCCTCCCGATGGCTTTGGTGCCCTGTGAGTCTTCACGCGGTCATTGCACAGGGGTTTGCAGTAACTTGTTCCATCTACCTCATTCCTCTACATGGGTGAAGAAAGAAGGTGTAGCCACAGGCAACAGCCGGATCAACACTGGACCTTCTCCCAGAGTCTGGAAACTCCAACTCAAGAACTGATGCCAGCCACAACCAAGCCTAAGCTTGCCGTGCCCACCATATATTGTAGATTGACTCTCGGTGTCCACCTCTGTGGCTGGGTCAGCTCCCAGTATCATCCCCCCAGTCCTTGCTAACGATCCCAGAATGCCTAGGGGCTGAGTCCAAAAATTAGGACCCTAACGTGTCACTAGCTTCCAAAGAGTAATCGGCTGAGACGTCACAGGTCACTAGTTCTCTAAAGTTCCCAAAGTCCTGACTGAGTCATGCAAACCTTCCTACCCCAGTCAACCAGGACCCATGACTGAACCTTAATATGAATCATCTGGAGAGCTTGTTAAAATGCAGATTCTGATTTGGTGGGTCTGGGATGGGGCCTGAGACTCTGCATTTCTTACAAGCTCCCAGCTGCTGCTGGCCTGCAGACCGCACTCCAAGCAGGACAAATCTAGAGACGCCAAGTTCACTGCTTGAGTACTTACTATGCTGCAAATTGAGGTTGTTTTCTGCAAAGCATAAGCAAATCTCAACCACACATCTTTACTTTCCATTGTGTAGAATGCTATTTTCATGATTTTGTGGCCGTTTAGATTTTTGCATTTGTAACTCCGTTAGGAAATATCTCACCCCCGTTTTGCCTACAACGGAAAACAAATCTGAGTTTTCTCCAGGGGCCCATATTTGCCCTTGGCCCTCATTCTCTGTTGGGCTGTTGATTTTGGGTGGATTAAACAATGTCCCCTTCTGCAGACTCTAGAGCTTCTCTTCTGGAATCAATGTCAAAGCATCCTGATTCCACATTCCAGTGGAAGGCACTAAGGAATTGGTTGAGGCGATGACACTGCCTTGTGTTTGGGGGTGCGCCGATGTAGGGGATTCAAAATAGGGCTCAATGCTTTCGCATCCAACTCCACACCCTCCACACCTTGCCTTGGTGGGGATCATCACCCCCATTCTCCCAGCCTCCCACTGCTGGAGCCTGCCCCCCTCCATGGCCTCTGAGCATCTGTGGGGCGGAGATTGTGTTAGCCCATCTCTGTGACTCTGGTACCTGGCTCAATAGGTGTCTAATAAATGTATACCTAAAAAAGGGGCTTTTAATTTATCTCCCTGCATGGAAGGATAAAAGACCCACCCAAGGCCCCACAGCCAGTGACAGTGAAGGCAGATTCCTCAAAGCTATCCTGATCCAGCCCATAAACTCATGCAGAAGGAGACCCGGAGGCCATCTCATCCAGCCTAATGCGTTGATAAACTGAGGCCAGGCAGGGCCAGTGACTTGGCTGAGACTCTACAGCAAATTTGAGAATAGCTGGGCCTGGATTCTGGCTGAACTGACATGGGTCTCTGCCCACTCCTTTTGGGGATTCTATTTGTTTTTTCCACTAAAAAAATCAAGAGGCTGGATAATGAAGAAAATGCTCCAAGCTCTATGAAGAGAGATGGGGCCTGAGTCTGTGAGTTTTACTGTCTTCTGGGCTTGAGGCTCCCAACCCGAAACCCTCCATACATTTACTCTCTGAAATCTATGTAGTGCTGATCTCATATGTCTCAGTGGGAATGGTGAGACCCTGTGATTTTGTTTGTTTGGGTTTTTGTTTGTTTGTTTGAGGATGCAGTATGATACACTGGAAAGGGCACAGGCCAAACTTTAAAAAATGCGTATCTTTTGACCTAGAAATGCCATTTCTAGGAAGGTTTTATACAGAAACCCTGATACACACGCACAGAGATTTATGTACAAGGATACTTGATGCAGTTGTGTTGGAAACAAATGTCCATCGCCCTTAATGTTCTGAAATCCGTGAAAAGAATGGGGGAGAGCTCTCTCTGTGTAGCAACAAGGAGAGAGTTCTAGGGTCTACTATCAAGTGAAAAAAGCAAACCACAGAAAAGTATGTTTGGGGGACCCTGTTTATGACATAATAAAATTATGTATGTATATATAAATTTATAGGAAAGATCAGAAAGGCTACACAAAACTGTGAGCAGCGGTTCCTCTGCAGAGCACGTAGATGATAAGGAGTATGGAGAAGGGTGAAGAGGAGCTTCTGATTTTAATTTTATATATCTTTCTGTTTGAATTCTAAACAAAAATTTATTCTTCTTCTTCTAAACAAAGAATTAATTAATACAGAAGATTGTATTAATATTAATACAATATTACTCCTGTGATTTAAAAAAATACACAGAGAGAAGCCAACGAACAAGGCCTTTGGCATCACTCCAACCTATGTTTGATCCTTGTATTTGTTATCTACTGCTGTGTAACAAACCATCCTCAAACCCAGGGGCATAAACTCACCCAGATTCATGACCTCACAGTTTCTCTGGGTGAAGAATCTGGCATGACTTAGTTGGGTTGTCTGGTTTGGGCTCTGTCACACAGGCTGGAATCAAGATGTGAGCTGGGGCTGTGGCCGCATCTTCAGGCTCCACTGCAGGTGGGTGCTCTTCCAAGGTCACTTACATGGTCATTGGCAGGATTCACTTTCTTGAGGGCTGTTGGCCAGAGGCTATGCTCAGCTCCTCGCCACGTGGACCACTCCATAGGGCAGCTCACTATGTGGCAGCTGGCTTCCCTCAGAGCAACTGAGAGAGTGAGGGAAAGTGAGGAAGGTGAAGCCAGGCTCTGTAACTGAATCTCGGAAATGAGCTCCCCTCACGTTTGCCATATTCTATTCAGAGCAGAGTGTCACCGGGTCCCACCCACACTCACAGGGAGGGGATTGCACTAGGAGGTTGGGGTCATTGAGAGCCAACATGGAGGTTGCCCACCACAGTCCCAATCTTTCCTATTCACTGTTCACAAGCTGTGTGACGTTGGGCAGGTCACTTAAAATCTCCAGGCTCTAGTTCCTCCATCTGTGACATGGGCTCCTAGCAGCTGTCTCACAGGAGGATAAGATATGGTAACATGTGCAAAATGGTCAGTCACAGTGCTTTCACCCAGCAAGCCCTGGTCTTCTCTGACCCAGCCAGGGAAGAACTGTGGGTTAAACGTTTCTCGTGATTGTCTTTACAAGTTAGAAATCTTTCCACGCAGACTCTGCTTCTCCGGAAACTCACTCTCAGGGAACTCTCTAGATAAAATGACGTTTATGTCCAGGATCCTGGAATAAAGAGTTCTCTATTTCAAGGCTGCCAACACATGGTGAAGAGGCAGGGTCAGGTGCAGTGTTAATAATTGCTTTGTGGGCATGAAGGGGCCATAGATTACAGAACACTTGGAGAAAATGGGGCTTTTACAGTGGGTCTCAGTCATTAGCAAAATTTCACATTCAAAGTTAGTCAGGAAAGGTAATTAGTGTCAAGGAGTGATTGCAGCCGCATCGTTAACATGACGGATGCTGGTGGGCTCATATGCTAATGACTTATGGACTCTTCGCTTGGGTGAGGATCAGAGCAATTTGGTGGTCAGCAGAGAGTCTGAGAATCAGTCACCACGATAGTCAGTAATTTATCATTTCTATTTAAAGTCTGGAGTCTGCATCAGCTGAAACAGAAGGGAGCCCTGATGGTGGAAGGTTGGCATCCAACAAAATCCTGAGCCCTGGCTGCGTCTATGTAAGACACATCCATTTTCTTTGCGGTCCAGGGCAAACAGGAAAGTTGTTTGCAGGATCAGCCTCTGAGTCCATCTTGGGGTGGAAACAGTCTGTGCTGCTGGCTGCAGGGAGATCAGGATTGGGATGGTAAACTAGATTTAGCTTTACAAGTTCATCTCTGGTGATCAGAAAAATGGCTCCTACTGTTCAGTGATACCCAAATTACATCAGTAACTGCGAGGTGGGAGGGGATTGGATCCCTCTCATTGGGAGAGCACTGGCTCCGGGATCCCAGGTACCTTTAAGGACATGCAGTTAACGAGTGGCAGAGCCAGAAGTTCTGACCTGGGTCGTGCAGTCTTTGCTCAGCGTGAATAATATCGAGAAAACAATAATAGTAACAGCAACAGCTAATAGTTCTTGCGAGCTTACTGTGTGTCCGGTGCTTGCTGAGCGTTTTACACTGTTATATCAGTTTGCTCTTTGTAGATAGTAGCTGAGAGAGGTTGAGTAAGTTACTCAAGGTCACACAGCAAGCAATTACAAGGCTGGTCTTCAAACGCAGATCCTGGTCTCCTAAGTACGGTGCTACATTGAGCTGCTGCGCGCAGGAAATGGACGCTAAATTCTTACTACTTCGGCCATCTCATCTATAAAATGGGAATAATGTGCTCCACACACAATTTCAGGAACAAGTTGCTCGGCAAGCTGTTACGCAGGGTGCCAAAAGCCTGAAGGTAACTGTGATCTGATCGTTACAACACGTGCTCACATGGCAGGCACCTACAGATGCCCATCTCCACCCCTCCCTTCCCAAATCCATGGAGGCACCAAGTCCTGCCAGCCGTTCTTGACAGCCCCCTGTGTCCGCACACCCACTTCACATTCGTACCCCGTTTGGTCTATAGATGATGCCACACTGGTTTTCTGCCACACTGACATGTGTCTGTGGGTCTCCTCTTCCAAAACTTGCAGTGGCACCGCATTTCTCCTAGGATTAAATGTGGCCGTCCCAGAGCGGCGTGCGAGGCCCCGTCCCGCTACTTCATCTGCCTCCAATCCGTCTCCAGGGCTGCGCTCTCCTGCGCGTGCCCACTGCCTGCCCAGATCCCTCCTGCTCCACCAGGGCGCTCATTGCCCTCCCCGTGACCGTGACAGTAGGTGCTCCGCTCCGCATGACTCCACTGGCATCCCCAGCTTCAGGTTCCCAGGAAAGCTTACCTATCTTTGCCCGTTCCCACCCCCCAAGCAGGGGATCATCATTCTTCTTTCCATTCTCAAGGTTGGGGCTGCTCAAATGCACACTGACCTCATGTTAGTGCCCAGGAAGGCCCAGATGGATGGCCGAGGTTAGAGACAGAGTCTGGACTGGAGAGAGGATGAGCTCGCTGTGCATGGATCTAACCTCCCAGTTCAACCTAGTGACCACATGGTCCAGACTTAGAGCCTTTCCTTCATCTTCTCTGTTTCTCATATCATCTGTCAGCCTACAAATTTGCATTTTTGTTTCAAAAGTGAAATCACCAAACTTCCACTCTGGGATGTCAAGCTTGCAGAGAAAGAGAAGCCTCTGAAATCACATATACAAATTTAGGGAGAGGGCTCCTAGCTTTCATAAGTGCTCCGAGAAGTCAATGATCCAACAAGACATTCCCTGGCCGACGTGAGCTGCTGGAGGTGAGACTTTGTGATCCCCAGAGTTACCCTTCCCCAGAGTTCTGAGATTGAAGACTAGAGGGAGCACACGGTAGCTAGTAAGCATGCCTTGACTGAAGGGCAAAGAAGAATTGACAAACCCCACAATCACAGCAGATTATAACATGCTTCTCTCAGCAACTGATAGAGCAAGCAAATAAAAAAAAATAGCAAGCTTGCAGAAAAGTTGAACCACGCAGTGAACAGATTGATCTAACAGCAAATACAGAGCCCCGCTACTTGCCAATTAGAAAATACATACTTTTCCAAGCACGTGATTTACCCAAACTGATCATATTGAGCCCCAGAATACATCTCAACAGATACCGAACCATTATATCATAGAGAAATTACGTTCTCTGACCACAAGTAATAAAATTAAAGACCAAAACGTTCCATACACTTTGAAATAATAAGTGTTAATGGATAATTCATATGTCAAAGAAGAAATTATAATGGAAATTATGAAACTGAACAATAATGAAAACACTATGTGTATCAGCCAGGATAGGCTAGGTTATGCTGAGATAACAAACAAGCCCCAAGTCTTGGTGGTTTACACACCTAAGGTTTGTTTCTCCCTTCTGTTACATGTCTGTCCTTGGCCAGGAAGACATTCTGTTTCACATCCTCTTCACTCAGAGCTGAGGCTGTTGGAGAATCAAACGTCTGGAACGTCACCAGTCCCTGTGGCTTGGGGAGGAGAGCCCTGGAGGGTCTCGAATCAGCAATAAGCGCTTCCACCTAAGAGTAGCACTGGTCACTTACCCTCACATTTCTGCGTGGCCAGGCTACATTTGAAGGGGGTGAAGAAATAAAATCCTCTTGCGGGTGGGAAGGCACCGGGTACCAGCGAGTGGCAGCAATGGCTGTCACAACCCATCAGAACATGGGATTCGACTAAAGCAATGGTTTGAGAGAAGTATGTGGCCTTAAATGCAAAACAACTAAAAATAAATGATCTAGGAGTCCAACTCAAGAGAGGAGAAGAATAACAAAGCAGAGTAACTCCAAAGAACGTAGAAGGAAATGATGAATTATGGGCAGAAATGAATGAAATAGAAAACAAAGAAATAATCCAAAGGGACAACAAAACCCAAAGCTGATTTGTCAAAAAAACAAAACCAAAAACCAAAACCCAACAACCTAAGAAAATAGAGAAACGTATGGCAAGATGCAGTAATTTAAAAAGAGAAAGAAAACACCAATAAACAATATAGGGACTTTCCTGTCAAAATGTCAGAAAGTTTCAGCTTGTTGACAGTGGCAGCTAAGAGTTTGTTTCCTGTGGGTCAGAAAGAGACACACGAGGTCTTTGTGAGGTGGGGGAGTGGAAGCAGACTTGCTGCTTAAAAATGGGGAATGGGGGCTTCCCTGGTGGCACAGTGGTTGAGGGTCCACCTGCCGATGCGGGGGACGCGGGTTCGTGCCCAGGTCCGGGAGGATCCCACATGCCGCGGAGCAGCTGGGCCCGTGAGCCATGGCCGCTGAGCCTGCACATCTGGAGCCTGTGCTCCGTAGCAGGAGAGGCCACAGCAGTGAGAGGCCCGCGTACCGCAAAAAAAAAAAAAAAAAAAAAATGGGGAATGGGTTGGGTTTCCCAGCTTGTAAGGGGAGGCTGGGGGGAAAACCCTGCAGCCAGCTTGCTGCCTGGGCTTTGGTTTTGTAAGAAGCTGTGGGCCTCGGGAAGTGAAAGTTAACATTAATTGAGGCTCTAGAATGTTCTGGGCACTGTAATAGAAACTCATTTATTCCTTCTCACGACCCCAGGGCTAGGTACAGGTATTATCCCTTTATTATACATGAGAAAACTGAGGTCCAGGGAGTTTAAACAATTTCCCCAAGGTCACGTGACTAGTAAGTGGCAGAGCCAGCTTCAAGCACAGGAACTGGACCCTGGGACCCACACGCTCAGCTATGCCATGTTCGTGGCCTCCTGTGTTGAGAATGAACCCAGCTGCGCATTGATCCAGAGGTGATCCAGGCTCACCCTGAAACAGGAGCCTTAGGGGTCTCCACCCCAGCATCATATGTCTTTTGACTTTACTTGTGGTGGTTCTGTCATGCAAAAGGGTTTCATTTTAATGCGCTCAAGTATGACAGTCATTTTCCTCACTGCTTCTGGTTAAGAAATTTTTTCCATACCCAGGTTAGATAGGCCTTCATACCCACATTTTCCTCTAGTACCTTAGGGTTTCAGTTTTTATATTGAAACGTCTGATCCCTTTTGGATTTTACCCCAATGGGTGGTGTGAGCTCCAGGTTTGACTTTTTCCACATGGCGATCCAATTATCTCAACACCACTTTTTTCAAAAAGAAAAAAAAATCTTTCCACACAAATTTGTGAA